CCAGAACCTGGCAAGTCCGGTATACGATTCTTAAGTACATCAATCTTTGCATGTAATTCAGCCTGCTTTTTTTGATGATAATATTCTCTTTTTCGATACTTACTGGCATGATTTCGGCATGCACCGTATGTAGAATATGTTCACTTATCACATTCTTTGCAAGGAATCCATGTTGGAGAATTCTTATGAATTTTACATACTTCTGGTTGACGACAACCTCGATCACAAACTTCACCAGTTCTATGAATATAAGGACAATGATAAAACCCCATATTTATTTTAATAATAATTGTTAATTATTTATATATAATTTTCAGGAATAATTAATTTCATTTTAAAGTTTTTTCAGTTAAGTATAATACTTTTAGTGTACAAACAACATCGCATATATCTGCAAAATGTTTCATACAAGTCTTCTAATGAGGAAAAAAAACTTCTATATGAATCATTACAACAACAGCACCAAAGCCAAAAATTGGCTGAATATGGCGAGGCAAAGAAACTCCTCTCTGGTTTAACTGATCTTAATTACGAATCTGGCCATGGAGAACATATGTATTATAAATATTTGCTTGGATCCAATGATAAAAATGATACAGCACTTTTAGAGGCATACCAACCCGAAGAGATTTATTCTCGATATATAGTCCGGGTGGCAGAAAAAGGCTTTACAGTAATTGATCATCCTTCCGAAATTTATGGATTTCCTGATGCACATGAATGTATTGATGGAAATCAGCCCCTTCGTCCAATACTCGATATTGATGCAAGGCAAAAACCTGATTCCATGAATCCGGAACTTCCTTCTTTAGATGGTGAAAAAATTACTCGTGAAGATTTGATGTCTAGAATATTAATTGCCTGTGCAGATGCATTGTATCTTATACCCGATTGTATGGTTTCATTAAATAATTTTGCTTTAGCTAGTTCATCTAATATGGATAAATGTAGCTGGCATATTATTTACCCTTATGTACAATTTATTGATTATAGAGATCTCAAAGGCTTTAACAGAAAAAGTTATTGAATTAGTTGGAAAACCTTACTCGAAGTTCATTGATATTGGACTTCCCAAATCACGTTTTAGTCTCCGACTTCTTGGATCAGCAAAAGAAGGCAGAGTTAAAAGACCTGCGATCTCTTCAGCTAAAAATAGATTTCACAAGTTAGAAAATTATTTGGTTCAGCCTAAAGCGAATTATTCTGTAATCTGGCCACGGACTTTTTCTTCTGAAAAACCAACCGAGAAATTCCTGCCTATCGAAGATGAAGATGCCCTTATCAAAGGTGCTAATTTGGTTATTGCAAAATATGAATGGCTTGAGATCGGGAAAAATGGAAAAGGGTTGATTAACTTTCAAGCACAATTACCTAAAGGATGTCCTATATGTGAGATTACACATGAAAAAAATCAATTATACGGATTTCTTCTGAAAGATGGGCGTTTTATACTCAAGTGTTTTCGGCAAAAACAACATAAACCAGATCACAAGGGATTGGTATTTGGCAAAGCATCAAGAGTAGTTGAGTCACCTAAAATGAAGTATTGTTGAAAGAATAGCCAATGCTGTATCAAATCTGCATCCACTTCCTGAATTATCCGGAGAAATTATTAACGTGAAGGAGATGGAGGATGCACCAGAAGCTTATCCAGATTTCTTGAGCGAAAAATCCAGTACAACTCTTATCCGCTCTCCTATGATGACAGGAAAAACAAAAGGTCTAAGAAAAAATCTCAATTCTTTAGCCAGAAGTGGTGCCAAGTTACCTTGTTTCATCTGGGTTTCTTATCGAAAAAGTCTTAGTAATGAATCACAAGGCAAAATTAATGAACTTAAATCGTTAGGGTTCAAAATCTGTAATTATCAAGACGAACAGAACTTATCTATAGATAAATGGGATGTTATTATAGTCCAAGTTGAAAGCCTTTCTCGTGTCGAATTTTCAGCCCGTCCAATTGTGGCTATTTTAGATGAAGTCAATGCAATTCAACGCCAAATGAATAGTGGTGCAAATGCAAGAGAATCTGAGAATGCAATGCGAGATTTGTTGAAGTCTGCTGTTCACGTTTTAGCCATGGATGCGTTCGGAAACAAGTCAGCATTGGCCTTTCTCAAAGCTTATCGCGGTGAAAATATCCGAGTAATAGATAATAAATTTCAGCCCCTTATAGGTAAGACTATTGAATATCTTCCTGATCCAAATAATGGAGCTGAAGCTATGCGAATAGGGTTTGAGTTTTTGAAGCAAGGTAAATGCGTGGCATTTGTTGTAACAAGCTCTAACATGGCTCGAGGATTAGTAAAAAAGGCTTCTAAATTATCTTTTAAAGCTTGCGCCTATTATGGAGATATGGATGGAAAACAACGAAAAAAAGACTTTTTAGATATTAATACTGCTTGGGGCGAACTCGATTGTGTAGCTTATACAAACACAGTAGAAGCAGGTATTTCTTTCGAGAAACCTAATCACTTTGACATAGTTATAGGCATTACAAATATTGAAACTCCAGTTAATGTCGAAGCATTTATCCAGATGATGTTCAGAATTCGTGATTGTGAAAAGCAGTGGGAACGACATAATTATGTCGTTCCCACTTAGTCTAGGTTATTCCCCCTCATCTGTGACGTGTGTTTTGCATTTGCCTCGTCATTCGAGTGACGTGAGTTTTGCATTTGCCTCGTCATTCGAGTGACGACAAAAATTCGAACGCGTCATCATTCAAGACTGTGGCTAATTTTTGTATATCGGATTGGTGATCCCGGGTGATTTAAAATACAAGGTGCTTAGTGAGTTAGGTTATGACGGAGTGACGTGTGTTTTGCATTTGCCTCGTCATTCGAGCGCAGTCGATCGCAAAATTCAAGTCATGATGAATAGATGGCTTGTATACCCTTTTGAAAGTCAAATTCGATATCAATAATGTTTTAATCACTTATATAATTTTTCGTATATCGGTTTATTGTTTCTGATCGATTTCCGTTATAAATAAATCTCCGAATTAGGTTATGACGTAGCATCATAGTCCTTCTGTGTTTTCTATTATAACCCAAATTCGATAGCATTATTTGTATACCGATTTGATAACCGTGACTGATTTCCATTGCAATAAAATAACTGAGGTAGGTTATGCTACCGGGTTAGCTTCATCGCGAGTTTGATGGGTCAAATACATTTTATGCGTCATTTGTGAAGGCATATAGCCAGAGTATATGCTATCTAGTGTGTTATATACATGCTATCTGGTTACGCTATCGAGTATATTACATATATGCTATCTGAACATGTATGTGACCTATGTCACGTAAATGCTATCGATTAATACTATCGGGTATGTCAGCTATGCTATCAAAATGTAATCACTTATGTTAACTACCCTAGAATGCATTTAAAATGGATCTGCTCGTGTCCTAATAAAAAATCCGTCCCGGTTTTGTCCTAGTAAAAAATTGTTAACTGGGACGAATTCAATATAGGAGAAAGATTTAATATCCTTTTTTATCTTGTTCTTTTATATTTATTATATATCCGTCCTAGTTGTCCTAGTAAAAAAGTAATAATCTGGGAAAAAAATAAAATTTATCTACCCATGATACATTTATAATATACATATGATATATACATATAATATATACTATCTATACCTATAGATAAAAAAAGAGAAAAAAAAGTAAGAAGATTGAGATTTTACTAGGACAACTAGGACAACTGGGACGGGTAGTCTAAAACTCTTTCGTTTGGCTTGAAATTACCAGCAGGTATATTTTTTTCTGTCTTAGCTTACGTCCTAGAAAAAAATTCGTCCTAGTTGGAACTTCAAAAAATATAGGTATCCAGGATACCCACATATGTATATTAATTTTCCTTTACCTCAGGTGATGCAGAGCATCGAATTTCTAATTCCCTACCTTGTGCCATCTTCTCCAGCTTTTTCTGTTGATATCGACCCCGTCTTCGATATTTATCTGCATGAGTATCACAATAGCCATAATCAGAATAAGTTGACTTACCACATTCTTTGCAAGGCACACGAATAGGTGAATTTCGGTGAACTTTGCACCCGTTTGGGTGATAACACCCCCGATCACATACTTTCCCACTTCTAAGGATATAAGGACAACGATAAAATGCCATATTTATATGATTTTTAATATAATAATTATTATCTACTGATAACTATTCTTTAGAATTAATTTTCATTTGAACTTTTTTTTCCGGAATAATATACTAGCAGTATAACATACTTACTATGAGTACCCAAAATTTCCAAGAAACCATCGATCACGTGCCAGCAGAATCAGAAGCACCGCCTTCTCGACCAGAGAGCCCAGAAAACTCGGAAACTTTCGAGCCAGAGATAGAGGAAGAAAATAACGGGGCGTTCTACCACCGGGGGTTTAAAGCTTTTCCTCAATCAAAGATTTCGGAAAGTAAAAAAGTAAGCGAAGTATATCGATACAATGGGGGGGAGTATTTACCAGTCCATCCAAGTCGCAATATGATAATTACAGAAAATGATAACTACGGATCAACGGCAACTATTAAACGGGCTTTAGTCAATGGAGAAGATATACCTTTTATGCCAATAGACATTGAAGAATATAATGAATATATAAATAATATCCCACATTACGTTTTACGTATTTATGGTTATCTCGTTGATGGTCAAAAAGCTGTAGTAACCATTTCCGGTATAAAAGTTTTCTTTGATATTT